GGGTTAAAGAGAGCTCGATAGTTTCGAAGGGCGGGAAGAATGGGACAGAGAAGGTACTCGAGCGTTTCATACTTCGCTGTAACGCGTATCGCTGAGGCTCATTGAAATTCTAGTCGGACCGCTGACCATTTCGAGCACTCCGCAAGAATTGAAATGAAGCTCCAGCTTTGGCTCCATGCATTCGGTGCACGCGCGGCCACGGCATAAAATTTCCAACGTTTCGATCGAAATTTCTATATTTGTAACTTCGTATATGAACGGGAAATCGCCATGATTTGCGCGCTCGGTTACTTCTATTCGGTTCGTAATACTTGAATACTTTGGCGAATCCGAGATTCGCGTAGACGTTTACGCATTATTCCCCCTTACGTTTCATCGATTTCAGCACGTTCAGAGCGCGGAGAATTCACAAGGGGCGTCGGCCAGGGGAACTCTGAGGCGGAAGGAGCACAGAAAGGTGCTCACCCATCACCTTTACTTCTGCATGAGGGATTTCGGGCACTCGATCGGCGAGGACACGGAGATCTACTTCTCCCTGTACGACGCGAAGCGAAATCAATATCTGAGCGAACGTTTCCTGGTTCGAATCTCGAAGGAAGGATTCTCCAGCTTCATAGAGAAGATTCACAGCAACTGTACGATCTTCACGGACCTTGGCAATGCGGACCTTAGCAGAGATCTTTACATGGTCGCGCACGTTATGCGATGCGGGAGAATGCTGTACTCCGATTCGGGGAAAAACAAAACGGGCACCGCCACGTACAGAAGGCCGCACGGTGTCGCGGTGCTCTCGCTTGCCGAGGCCACGCAGGATCACACCGAGGAACTTGAAATGACGTTCAAGGTAAGTAAGCTCAAGTACACGCGTTTGAGCACTGACTATAAGCATCATTATCGTCTGTGCTAAGGTGTGCCAAGGAGAAGAAAAGGAGTTCCATCAGCTGCACGAGCAGATTATCCGTAACAACAAGTGTTCGCCACTTCCGGGACAGCCTAACTACGGCATAGTGGTTTCACTGCGCGTGCTGCACGGCGAGTTGTCCCAGGTTCGCGAGGAGAACCCTCTGCTCTTCAAGAACATCTGCTTGACGAAGAAGCTCGGCTTCTCCGACGTGATTATGCCGGGTGACGTGCGAAATGATTTGTACCTGAAACTGGAACGCGGTGAGTTCGAACGAGGTGGGAAATCCACGGGGAAGAACATCGAGGTATTTATACTTCATCGTTGTAAATTTCGTGTCTGCAAATAGAAATATATCTACGAGTTCGTGTGTGTGTGTGTGTGTGTGTGTAGGTGACGATTTTGGTTTTGGACGCGGACGGTCAACCGCTGGAAGAATGCTTGTTCGGCGCTGCTGGAATGGAGGGTAGCTCCGAGTATCAGAGTTTAGTTATATATCATCACAACAGCCCGTCGTGGGCCGAGACGGTTCGATTGGCGATACCTATAGACAAGTTTTATGGTAGCCACGTCCGCTTTGAATTCCGGCATTGTTCCAGTAAGCTGAATTGAAATTCCTTCAGAAACAGATTAACAGCTCTTGACGCGCCGAATATCCACACGCAGTTTTCAGCATTCAGTGTTTTAACCTTCTTCTTTTTTTTTT